ATGGTCCAATTTCCAAATAAGGTAAGAGACAGACAGTGGTCCGTCCCGCCCCTTCCGGTTTGCTGCAGCGAGGTCCTTCTCCCCTAGTCTGGGAGTCCAGCCTTTCGCTTAACGTTTTGGACCTAGTTTAGATCTAATGGACCCAGTTCTCCTCGTCCTCCAGAGCGTCCGCTGCATCCCAAGGAGAAGGTTCTGGAACAGGCGCTGCAATGGTGCAAGATGGCTGACCCAAGCTCCGCCCACCTGCTGGTGAAGAGGCTTCCTACAGGAGAAGGCCTGAACATCCTGACCTGTAGGTGGCGCACCTGGATCCCCCTGTCTGTCTGTTACTAGCTCACCCCCCCCCCTCCCTCCCAGCTTACAGGTGTGACGTCATGAAGGTGGGGCTGCTGCGCTGCAGGGAGGAGCCTCCCAAGCTGCTGCAGGGGAACCGCTTCCAGGAGAGAACCTTCCAGATCCGGGACCACAAACTGCTGCTGCTCAAGGACCGGAGGGTAGGCAGAACCTCCAGGCCCGGTTCTGACCCGGTTCAGCGCGGTTCTGACCCGCTCTGTGTCTCTCTCCAGAGCATCAAGCCAGAGAAGGAGTGGCCCCTGAAAACCATGAGGATCTACATGGGGATCCGCCGCAAGCTGAAGGCTCCCAGCAGGTACCAGAACCAGGAACAGAACCAGGAACAGAACCAGGAACAGAACTAGAACCAGAACCAGGAACACAACCAGACCCAGACCTAGAACCAGGAACAGAACCAGGAACAGAACCAGAACCAGAACCAGAGCCAGAAACAGAACCAGAACTAGAACCAGGACCAGAACCAGGAACACAACTAGAACCAGAACCAGGAACAGAACCAGAACTAGGAACAGAACTAGAACTAGGAACAGAACTAGAACTAGGAACAGAACCAGAACCAGAACTAGAACCAGGAACAGAACCAGAACCAGGAACAGAACCAGGAACAGAACCAGAACCAGAACCAGAACCAGGAACAGAACCAGAACTAGAACCAGGACCAGAACCAGGAACACAACTAGAACCAGAACCAGGAACAGAACCAGAACTAGGAACAGAACTAGAACCAGAACCAGGAACAGAACCAGGAACAGAACCAGAACTAGGAACAGAACCAGAACCAGAACCAGGAACAGAACCAGGAACAGGAACAGAACCAGGAACAGAACCAGAACCAGGAACAGAACCAGAACCAGGAACAGGAACAGAACCAGGAACAGAACCAGAACCAGGAACAGAACCAGAAC